ATATATGTGTATATATATATATATATATATCTTCATAGATTGGAAGATTCAAAATATGGTTTTCTACATTTCTGCGAACAGGATGATCCAAAATTTGGTCTGCCACATTTCTATGGAAAGAAAGATTCAAAATATGATCTTTAAAAAAAGATTCATATGATCTTTATGATCAATATGATCTTTAAAGTGCTTAATGAATCATTATTCATATATAGTATGAAAAAAATGAAAAGTAGTTGTAAAATGTTTATTTATACTTAACGTTAAATTTATATTATTCGTAATTATATGTATAATCGTTATTTTTGAATAGAATATATTGCTTTACATTAATAGAAATTATGCCGTTACTTTTATTATTACTTTTTATGATAACGATTTGATAATGATGGTGCAATTTTTTATGGTTAATTAAAAACTAAGTGTGGAGGAAAAATTATTTTTAATAATAACTTATCATTATCATTGTTTATTGAAAAATGTATTTCATTATTGGTAACGAATTAAAGTAACAATTAAAAGTAATGATTCGATGCGTTACAATACAAATAATAAGTTACGTGTTTCAATAAACAATCCGTAATAACAAATTACTTTTTAAAAGTAACCTTTCCAATCTTAGCTTTTAATTAGTTATTGTTACAATCATTAAAAATTGCAATACAACATCATTGCGAAATCATTATAATAGATTATAGAAAGTAAGGATTCCCTTCCCTGATACTTATATAGCTATATATATATCCAAAGAGAATCGAAAATAAAGAAAACATCAATTTAACATCTGATTATTGATTGTTCACTAAATTGCGCCGTTTATCGTTGCTAACTCTCATTAACCTATTACATTTATTTTTTTGTATTGTTTTATATATCTATAATTTTTCATGAAAGAATTACTGCCATCGCGCAGCTTTTTAATTATGTGAAATGCGTAACACGATATCTAGTAAAATTGTCGTTAAAATTTACAGAATAGGTCTATATCTCCTGTATTCATTAATTCGTTATGTACACTGAGAGAAAAATGTTTGGTATTTATAATTATAATTATATATT